TTACAGTGTTGTGTCAGTTTTAGGTATACAGCATAGTGATTCTGTTTTATATATATTCTTTTTTAGGTTCTTTTCCCTTAGAGGTTACTACAAGATGCTGAATATCCTTCCCTGTGCTGCACAGTGGTCCTTGGTGTTTATCTGTGTTCTGTGTAATAGTGTGTATCTTTATCCCCAGCTCTTAATTTATCCCCCACCGCCTTCCCCTTTGGTAACGGTAAGTGTGTGTTCTATGTCTGTGAGTCTGTTTCTGTTTTGTAAGTAAGTTCATTGGTGTCATTTTTTTTTGTAGATTCCAAATGTAAGTGATGTATTATACGGTATTTTTCTTTTTCTGACTTCGCTTAGAATGATGGTCTCCAGGTCCATCCATGTTGCATTACTTCATTCTTTCTTATGGCTGAGTAGTGTTCCACTGTATAAACAGACCACAGCTTCTTTATCCGGTCATTTGTCAATGGACCTTTAGGTTGCTTCCACATCTTGGTTGTTGTAAATAGTGTTGCTGTCAACACTGGAGTGCACCAATCTCTTTGAATTAGAGTTTTTGTCTTCCCTGGATATGAGCCCAGGAGTGGGACTGCTGGATCATATGGCAACTCTTATTTTTAGGTTTTTAAGGAACCTCCATACTGTTCTTTATTTTAGCCATTTTTCAGTGCACAGTTCAGTCGCAGTAAGTCTGTTCTCTGAGAAAGCTTTTTAAAATTAGGTGTTTTCCCAGCTTTATTGTTATTCGCGTTGGACTGTGAAGCTCTGTTACCATCCTGTAGGTCCCCAGACAGCGGAGGCTTCTGTCCAGGATGGAGAGGAAAGGGAGGGAGAGTGAGCAGGGACAGGGCGCTGCTCCTGGCTCCTTCCTGCTTTGCACCTCTGTCTACACCTCCCCCCGTGCACAGTGGGCCCTGCCTCAGACCTTCAGTCCACTCCTGCCAGGGGTGCGCTGCGTCCCACGCGGCCACGCTGTCACCTCAGGGATGTTGGTGTGTTACAGGAGCTTGGGCCCCGGGGTGGGGGATAGCCGGGCAGAACTGGGCCTTGTCTCACTGTCCTGGGCTGAGGGACCTGCCCAGAGACTGTGCCCAGTTGCCCACAGCCTGGGGGCCCCGAAATATTTCCTTGGAAGCACTAACTACAGTGTCTTAAGCCCACAGCCCCTCGCTGTCCTACGAACTCGGGTGGTTTAGTTAACAGCTGACGGTAGGTCCAAGAATGTCGAACAAGACCTTCCTGAGGGTTTTCTTCAACTCTGAGCCCTGTGAGCTGGAGGGCAGGACAGCTCGTTCCTGTGAGTGCAGGTATGAAGTGCACCCTTCCTACCGGATGGATGCTGTCCTGGCTTCACCGCCTGGAATCGAGTTTACTTCCCCTGACGTCGGGGACCTTGTTGGCTTCTCACCTCAGAAGGTGTTGGGTGGCAGCATGTGGCATCACTTCCCGGGACGCCTTGTCCTGGAGGAAAGCACCGCTGTTTTACCTTGGAGCCCCTGGCCATGTCCTCTCCTGAAATGGGCAGTGGGCCTGCCTGCCCCGGGATGATGGTGGGGCCTGAGCTGCGTGCCATTGGTGGATCCTCGGCATCCAGCCACCTGTGCACCCTCTGGGCTCTAACATGGCTGCAGAGCAAACTTCATCTTCAACGAGGACAGAGGTGACTTGGGTCTTGCAGGCAGGAAGCGTGTGGTTTGGGTCCGTGAGCACAGGATGCCCTGGGGTGTGACTCAGCGGGGGGGATGGAAAACAGTGTCTGTCTTCAAGGTCCGGGAACCAGGAAAATGAGCTGGAAATGTGAGTAATGTATAATTTTACTAAAATTAACCGGCGAGTTCTTCAGACGTTTTTCTGTGTGTCTCAGTGTCTTTTCTGGTCCACGGTGCCCCCTGCGTCAGGCCTGCAGTGGCCCATTTTCCTGTTCGCTTCCTTGGAGCCTGTTCCCCACCCCGTCGGGGGCGACTCTGGATCGTTCATGCCCCTCCTGGAGCATCCCCCCACCCCAACCCCGGTCCTCAGGCTCAGCGGGGCCAGCACGCGGGGCTGCACTTGGGACACTGTGGTGCCACGCGGCGCCAGGCACACAGACTGGCCACGCGCTGGATGAGCTTCAGGCCGCTCCTTCCCGCCTGCGCCCCCCCCCCCCCGCACATCCTCCCTCTCGGGGCGCTGCAGTCTCACTCGGGAGCCTTTGTGTCCCCGTGCGGTCGTGAACCCCTGAGAAGGGCCGTGTCTTCCTCTCTGTAACCGGCACAGAACACCGAACAGGGGCTCAGTTCACATGGGTTGAATACTGCGGAGTCTGTGCTGGACAGAGGCGCGTTCTGACCGGAAGCTCAGGCCTCCGCCCCTGAGCTGGCAACATTCGTGAAGTGGCCTGCAGAAGCCACGTATTTTCCTGAGGGGTAGATTGTGTCGGGGAAGCAATTCACATAGCTCCGCAACGTTAAGTTTTATTTTCTTGAAGTTTAGGAGAAAACCTGATACTGAAGACAAGCATGTGATGATGTGGTCTTTTCATTCATTGAGAACTTGAATGTCTAGAACTAAATACCCGTTTAGGTCACAGCCAGTTGATCTTGGGTTCGACAGGCCTGAGGTCTGTCAAGCAGAACGTCCTCGCTTCTGGGATGTTCTGCAGAGATGTCGGCGTTTGTGATCATAGCTGCGGAGGCATTCGCCGTGAAGGCCTCTAATGTCTTCTGAGTCGTCCCAGGAAGATGAAATTATGGCCGGACTGGTTTCAGAGTAAGGCTTTTTTCCTTTTCTTTTCCTTCTTTTGGTATCGGAATTCTTAGACAATTGCCGGGATCCATGTGGTGTGGATGGGACACTTCATCCAGGCTCCTCAGCCAGAACATACTCCTCTGTGATTGTCTTCCTGGGCCGGAAACTTACTCTCTAACTGCTTCTAAGTCATTCTGTAGAGTGGACCAGAGAATAAAGGGGGGAGACACCATAAATTCAGTGCTGTGCCTATACAGCTAAGTGCCCTGTAGCTGATGAACTAAGCTCAAAGTTGATTTGGTCCCCCTGACGCTCACTGACCTGCCCTGTGCCAGCACGACTCTATTTGTGTACCGTTCAGTCCCCATTTGAGACCCTCGAGGTGGCTCTTAGGACCACACAGTAGCAGAGATGGCATGGCTGAAGCGGACTGGTCCCCAGGGGCTGGCGAGGCTGCCGCACCTCGAGCCTTCCCCCAAGCCCCGGTGCCACGCGGATCGGGCACACACTCCAGCTGAAGGGTGGCTACTTGGCCCCCAGCTCTCCACGGTCCTGCCCATCCCTGGTCCTCCTTCCTTCACCATCGTCACCAGCCCGCTGGACGGTGCTTGAGGAAGGATGAGCGGGGGTCTTGCTGAGCCCCTGGGAGCTGGGGGCGCAGGGAGTGGTATGAGGGAGTCTTTGCTGAAGGTCTGCATGGGGCATTTTGGGGTTGCGAGCTGCAGCTGCAGTTGGCGGTGGGTGTGGGTGGCACAAGCGTGTACAGTCACAGAGGCGCAAAGCAGCCATCTTACTCGGGGGCGGGCAGGCGGACCGCGGCGTGAGGAGCGGAGGCGGGGCCGCAGTGGGACAGGCCTCAGAGGCCACTGAGGACGGCGCTGAGCTGCTGAGAATGATAACCGAGGGCTTGATGCGGTCACGCCTGCTTTATGAACAGATTGTGCTGAAATGAATACAAGTAGGACAGGAAATCTGAATGAGGTTGGTAGACCGTCTCAGTGTCCATACTGGAAGGTGGTTTTACAAGATGTCACCCCGGGGGAGACTGGGCGCAGGCACACGGGACCTGTCTGTGTTGTTTCTTACAACTGTGTGTGAGTCTGCAGCGTAGAAAGCACACACACACATTAATTATGCTGTATCGTGTTCAGCTGGTGGAGGGGCAGGCACACTGCTTTCTTCTCTGGTTTCTGAGCCTGTGAGCCCAGCTTCTCTGCTGGGAAACGGGATGCCCCCTTGTGCACTCTGAGAATAACGTACGCTTCTTAGAGGAAAGTCACAGAAGTCCCTAGCTACTACATTTTGAGTTAAAATTCTTGCTCAGTCCTTATGAAATAAAGATTGCTCTGGCAGCAGAGAATGTGGTGGATTTAAGGGGCCAAGACCTGCGGCACAGAGAACCCCTGGCGTGAAGGGGGAGGGCGCGGGGCCTGGGCCCCCGCCGCTGGGCCACCGCTCCCGCGCTCTCATTCTCTGAGAGGTGGGACGGGTGATGCTGCCTGTACATGAAGTCAGTTAGACAGTGAGCAGGGCCAGTGTTACCATCTCACCCAGGTCCCACATGGCGCCGGCCACCTGAGTGCCGGGGGATGGATTTAGGCAGAGCCTTCCCGCGGGTGTGTGTGGATGGCGGGGCCACACCCCGTCCCTCCGCTGTCCGGACCACCCCGAGTGCTGCACCGTGAGCCAGGGCCATGGTTTTTGGGCTGCTGGCCTTGGCCAGTGACGAGACTGCTGAGTCCCCTCTCCTGGGGAGGGAGTGGTTATGGTGCCCTCTTTTCGGTGCTGCTGGGAAGACTGAGTGAGCTAAGGCCAGTGGACCTGGCACACAGGAGGCATCTGGTTGCTTTGGCATCATGACCACCTTCATCCTTCTGAACAGCAGACCCGTCCTGCGGAGCCGCCTTGAGCACGCAGGTGGGCTCTCCGGGCTCCAAGCGCGTGGAGTTTGTGGGAGATGTGCTCAGATAGCCTGCCAAGCAGAGGGGCGTCTTGGTCCGGATGCCCGATGCAGCTGGCCTCAGACCCTGGGAAGGTGCTGCTCCAGCACCGAGGGGCTCTGGAGTCACACTGATGTGGGTCAGCATCCTGGCTCCTCCACTGCCCACAAGCTGTTGGACCCGAGTCTCAGAAGATGGGGGTGATGATGGGGTCGTATTTACCCACAGCCAGGTGAGGAGTGAACTGAATCATCAGTGTGAGTGCCGGGCACGTGGCCGCTCTCCCGTTCACCACCTAGAGGCTGGGGGACGTTCCCGTCTGAGCGCCTTCCTCTGTTTCAGGAACAAGACGACCAACGGCGACTGCCGGAAAGACCCCCGGGAGCGGAGCCGCAGCCCCATCGAGCGAGCCGTGGCCCCGACCATGAGCCTGCACGGCGGCCACCTGTACTCGTCCGTCCCCAGCCTCAGTCTGGAGCAGCCCCTCGCACTGACCAAGAACAGCCTGGACGCCAGCAGGCCGGCCGGCCTCTCGCCCACCCTGACCCCCGTGGAGCGGCAGCAGGTACGCTTGTGGCCGGGGACCGAGGGCTGGAAGTGCCGGGCAGAGGCGAGGAGGGTGGTGAGAGGTGGGGGGCACCCTATCCTCAGCCTCGGGTTTGCATGTGGAACGGGGGGATCCTCTTACCCCAGGCCACCTTGTGTCTTTATTCCAACCTGGGAGTGCCTGGGCCTCGTGCTTCAGGACTTAATGTCTCTGGAGCTTAGATTCTTTGCACGAGGCAGGGTTGGTCTGGATAGTGGGTGTTTCCAGCCGTCTTCCTGGCAGCTCTGTTTCTATTATGATCAGTGCAATATCCTGACTGGAGTCCTTGTGACCTATCACAAGGCCACCCAGATGGAGCTGACTGGCAGGTTGCTTTGCTTTGGGCTGGAGTCCGGTAAAGCCACTGGTCACAGTGGCTATTGGCTGATACAGGTCAGAAACCTGTGCCTGGCAGACAAGGATTTTTAAAAGGAAAATAAGGAAATTAAGTTATTATTTAATGAACACAGATTACTTGGTAGAAAAAAAAAGACCTCTGGGGGCTCCTGGGGGACCAACTAACAGAAGGAGGCATTAGCGCTGAGGTTGGGAAATTGCCACATGAACGCACACGGCTTTCCCTGAACCTCTGGGGCCGCGACCCGACAGGCCCTCCATCCGTGTGTCCCTGAGACTGTTGGGTGGGGGGCAGCAAGCGAGCAGGTGCTGGTGCAGCAGAAGCCACGTCCCACTGCCCCCTCGTCCACTGCCTGCGCCTGTTTCTGACCCAGGCTGGGATCTGGGCTTGTGGGAGGCCCCGGGCGTTGGGTGAGGGTGTGCTGGTGCCTGTGACCCCCAGTAAGGCTGATGCGCAGCTGCACCTCCAACTGGGAGCCCAGCATCACGACCCCATTTGTTTCACTCGTTCGTTTAACAAAACTGCGTGGACACCTACTTTGTGTAGGGAATGTGTTAGAAGTTGGTCAAGCAAGATGAGTCTGGAGGAGTCAGGCTATCAGATAACTCAAATATTAATGTATCATTTAATACACTTATTCTGATGAGAACCAAGGACCGAGGGGGCGACATCACCACCATCCACTTAGTGAACGTTTACTAGCAATGCCTCTGCCCCGGCACCGGGAAGCCTGGAGGTGCAGAGACAGGTGAGCTGCAGCTTGGAGGGAGCACACGGTCTGGTCCCGGAGATGCAGGTGTGAGATGACTGCACTGTTGGGTGGCAGAGGGCAGAGCAGAGGTGGTTTAAGCATCAATTTATTTCTAGGATCCAGGGAGTTCAGCCCTTGGCTGTGGCCACTGCTGGGCTGATGTGCTCTGGGAGGAGGTGGGGGTGGAATTCCAGGGGGAAACTTAGCCCCTGCCCGTGGCGACGTGCAGGGAGAGGTGCCAGGAGCCTCCAGGGGTCTCTGCCCGAGCACGGTGGGCCCTGCTCTCCCTTCAGCTTCTCTGAAACTTTGATGTTTCCTTGGATCTTGGGTTTCCGTCACTTTGCAAGGCTTCTGAGGATCTTCTGGTGGGTCTGGTCATGGCTGATTTTTGGAAAGTGTAGCTCTGGACAGAGTTGCCCAGCTCTCCCAGCCACGGCCTCCCACCCGACCCTCAGATGCGCCTGGCTGCCCGCTGTGGCAGCCACCCCCGGCGTCGGACGTCTGTGGCTGAGTGGCTCTCCTAGGAGCGGGCGCCTCAACTTCCCACCTGTGTTCTCATGGGCTTCCTGGCCGGACAGAGGGAACAAAGCTGGTGGCCCTGGAACAAGCCAGCAGTGCGCCTGGGACACCCTGCTTCCCCGAGGTGGCCGCGCTGAGCTCAGCTTCTACTAGGCTCCCAGCCTGCCCGCCCCAGCTGGCTGCTGGTCCGCGTGTCCCATTCACGTAGCGACCGTTCACCAAGCTCCTCCGGGTCGGTCTGGGGGCCTGGACCGTCCTCTAGAACCTGAGCTTCCGCCCACATGGGGTCCGAGCCCTGCCAGGAGCGGCACAGCCCAGCCCTCCAGCCCGTTTCTGGAGCTCTGTGTCACCTGCCAGCCCCGTGCTGTCTGCGTGGCTGTGAGGGGAGCCCTGGAGCCCTGAACCGGGGAAGGATGGTGGGGAGCGGCCGGTGGGGGAGAGCGGGGGATGGGACTCAGCCTTCTGGGAACTGGAACAGGAAAGCTCCCAGAGAAGCATGTCTGGGGAGTTTGCGGGAAGTGTCCCCTCATTTCAGGGTTTTTGTGGTGGCAGCTCTGAGGGTAGAGCTGTTCTTAAGAAAGGCAGAGATACCAAGAGGGTGGCCTCGGGGGCAGCAGCACATGAGGAGAGACAGGATGAGATTAAACAGTTAAAGCCCGAGGGACGGTGAACCTCAGGATTGTCCCCAGATGGGAGCTCCTTCCTTCCCCAGGGCCTCGGCTCCACGTGCAGCCACGTGCGGTGGGGTGAGGGGTGAACAGCGTGTGCCAACAAATTCTCAGCCTCCAGCAGGTTACTTGTGTGGCCTTCACCTTCCCCGTCCTGAAAGTAAGGGTGTGAGGCCTGTTCCCTGGGGGGCATGTGGCGCTGAAGCCAGGCTGGCACTCAGCCAGCGTCGGGTCCCCAGAGAACTGAGCCGGGCCCGCAGCCTGGGCTGTGGGGAGGAGAGGATGGCCCAGGCACTTCCACTCTGCCCGCCCGGGGTGTTCGCCTCAGGTCAGGAGTGCCTAGGGGTGATCTAGTGCCTGGGCAGCTGCTGGAGTCTTCGCCAGGTCCCATGCTGCCCTGTGGTCCTGCCCTGCGGGTCCCCCACTAGGAGGCGCCACATTCTCTCCTGGAGGGGCCTTTCCTGTCTTTCGCAGCGCCGCCAGAAGGCTGGATGTCGACCGTATGCTTTGGTCTAAGCATCTCAGATCCTTTCTATGTAACCTGCATTTCTCCCCCATCCACAGCCCCTCGCCCAAACATGTCCCTACTCTCCGACTCTGGTTGCAAGGAACAGAAGCCAGCCTGAGCTGGTTTAAGCACAAAAGGAAGGAAGTTATATTGGGAGGACCCCAGGGCGTCTCCCAGAGCCAGGTCTTGGGTACAGCCAGGCTCAGGAAGGAAGGGTGGGCCCTTGCCCTGGGGAGCTGGACAGGAGGCGGGACCCTCCTTCCTCTGCTGGCTTTGTGCCTGTCCCAGTCTCTGCATCCTTTTCTGTCTCTGCTTCTCGACCCACGCGGCCAGGCTGGCTGGGCCATCTCACAGCTCCTGAGAGCAACCTGAATTTCTTCCTGAGTTGGCCGTAGTAGCTGACCCACAGCCTGAGTCAGATTTTCAGCCTGGCCCAGGACAGGGTCACTGACGGCTGGGGCCGCATCTCATGGATGGAGGAACTTGGCGCGCACACTCCTCCGTCCCGTCTCACTGGGAAGTGCCTTTCCTGGCTGGAACCTGAGGGAGCTCAGTTGGTACCCGGGTCTGGGAATCCGGACACCCCCGGCCCTTGCTCTGAAGTGCGCGTGGTCCAGTGGAGGAAACTGGAGGCACCTGGAAGGACAGTCTACCTGATGAACGTGTTGGGGGTAGTGACCTCATAAAAGGCTTCACAGAGACAGTCTTTGAACAGGGTGTTAAAGGCCGAGTGGAGTCGGCCAGGCAGACAGCGAGGTGGTCTGGGGGAAGGAGCGAGAGCATGGGCAGGTGGACTGGTTGAGGGTGACGTGTGTAATTCAGGCACTTGGACAGATTTCTGCATTTCCGTCTACATCATGACGTGCGTGGTCGTAACAGAAACAGACTCGAGCTGGCTTGGCTTAAGCAAAGGTGGAGAGTATGTTGCAAGAGCCTGGGGATGGCTCAGTGAAGCCCTGGGGTGCACTCTGAGAAGGCAGGGACCAGGAGCCCTGGGGACCATAATGGTAGGAGCAGTGGTCCCTTCCGCAACCCTCTGCCATCTACATGGCTCCCAGGGATGGTCTCATTTCAGGTCCCAGCAGCCGAGCCTCTTCCCATCACTGATTCAAACAGCCACGACCAAGGGTCACTGCTCAGAGAAAAGACCGCTTGGGAGTGGGCTGAGCGCACACCCTTGAGGGTGTCCACTGTGGATTCGGGCAGTTGAGCAGTTTGACCCCTGCTCTGACTTGATCAGCCTCCGGTCAGAAGGGCTCCAGGACAGGCTTCAGCAGAGCAGTGGGGCTGCCAGGGGGCCCTGCGTGGGATCTGATGCCAAGATGGCCAGTGGCACTTGATTTTCTGGGTTGGGGGGCACCGAGGGGGCTGTCCCACCTCCAGCTCGGCAGGAATATGACTAGAGTCACCAGTTGGGGTGAAGCAGCAGCTGCTCCTTGTCTGCCCTGTCAAGCCTGAGCTGACGCCAGCCCCTCCTCTCCCCAGAACCGGCCCTCTGTGATCACGTGCGCCTCTGCCAGTGCCCGCAACTGCAACCTGTCCCACTGCCCCATCGCGCACAGCGGCTGCGTGGCCGGCCCGGCCAGCTACCGGAGGGCCCCAAGCTGTAAGTCATTCACGGGGTCCCGGCCTGTCAAGGGCATCAGAGCTCCTTCGGTGTCCCCTGGGTCGTCGGAACAGCTAGTGTTTGCTTGGCTGGGGTTGGTGGGGCAGCAGCACGTTAGCCCTGACCTCCAGGCTCTCGCTTGGGTTGGGGCAGAGGCGGGCCTGTGTCCCCAGGTCCCAGCCCTGACCGCGGTCCCGCTCCCCACAGCCGCCGCCACCTGCGACCCTGTGGTGGAGGAGCACTTCCGCAGGAGCCTGGGCAAGAACTACAAGGAGCCCGAGCCGGCGCCCAACTCAGTGTCCATCACAGGCTCCGTGGACGACCACTTTGCCAAAGCCCTGGGCGACACGTGGCTTCAGATCAAGGCGGCCAAGGATGGCGCATCGAGCAGCCCCGAGTCGGCCTCCCGCCGGGGCCAGCCCGCCAGCCCCTCGGCCCACATGGTCAGCCACAGCCACTCCCCCTCCGTGGTCTCCTGAAGGGAGCGCCGCCCGCTGACACGACGTCCATCTGCATGGTTTGCCTGCGCTTCGAACAGTCAGTGCTTAAAAAAATGGAAAAACAACAAAAAAATCGTGGGTGGGGGGGTGGGGGGAAGGGAGGGATGGTTTCTTCGCAAAAACCATGTCGTGGGGATTTCTGTTGTGTTTTGTACTTGCCGGGTCGGGTGTCCGGACACGGGCCCTGGACCGTGACCGCAGGACTGCGCGCAGCCTCTGTCCGACGCAGCACCTGACCTCCTGCCTCAGTTACCAAAGAGACCTCTGACGCAGGGCTGCTGCGCCGACAGGGGCCCGGGCCTCCGGTGACCCCGACGCCCTGTGCTTTTCCATTTGCTTCTTGAGACCCGGTGCGCGGCTCAGCGTCCAGCCCGCGTGTGTGCGCTCGTGTGTGTGCGTCTACTTGAAGAGAACGGAGCTGTCGTGTCTGATTTGCACTATGGGAGGAGGACAGAAGTTGCCTGCCTGGCAACTCTGTGAGATGCTAGCACTCTGAGAGCAAACTGCTGAAAAACAAAGGGTTTAAGGATGACATTTCTGACCGTTTGTGTGTGTTTGCTTTCGTTGAACTTAGGACCGCTCTGGAAGGGGAAGTCTCACGCAGGTTGTAGGCCTTTCTCTGTCTAGGTTTCAGGTGCTTGCAACTGGACTGCAGACTGCCAGCCACGGGCATTTTACCTTCTCTGAACACTGCAGTTTGTCAGACGAGTGGAGGTTGGCGGTTCCACAGTGCTTTAAACGTGATGCATGTTTTAATGGATAAAAATAGCTGGTTTCTATTAATTGTATAGTCAGTAAACAAAAACCTTAATCCTTACTAGCTTCCTTTCAGAGTTAGTTTACTTTCGTCAGTTACAGCCCTAGGCATACTCACTGCTGGTACAGTTGTGCTCGAAGATGTGTATTTGATACTCACGTTCCTCCCAAGCAGCGCGGGGCCGCTCGGCCCCGGCAGGCCCTGGAGACGGGCAGGTGAGCGGCTGGTCAGCCTCAGTGTCGGATGCTGGAGTTTCAGCTGCAGGCCGACACCATTTATGTTTTTTGCATCCCTGTCTGCTTATTACTCGCTCCCAGGGGAGCTGGGGTTTGTGTCTCCCACCTACCCTCGATGCAGAAACTACTCCCTTTAACCTCTTGGCTGAACAGCAGATTCCTGACAATCTGTGATACGGTATTTTGTATGCTTCCTCGTACGCTGGGGCCAAGGCAGTATACATTCCTCTGACTTTATACAGTTATTACTGCGTTTATTACTCGTTTGCTCTAGAAATAGCTACTAACTAGAAGTTAGGTGAAGAAGAAAGCATGACAGACCCAGCTGTGGATGCTCAACAGCTGCTCCTCTTGCTGGTAAACGTTTCCGTGCCCCCGCCTGTCCCCTGCGCTCCCTGCCAGCCCCGCCCACCCGCGGGCTTGAGCCGTCACCTGGCCAGGTGATGCAGGCAGACCCCCACTCCCAGGGGAGCCCTCGAGGCTGGCTTTCAGTGTGAGGAAAATACAGGTGAGCTGGTTAATTCCGAAAGCTGGCACTGGGTGAAGAGGTGGGAGGACTGGCTCCTGTGGCCACAGGGTGGCTGCAGGTCTTCGAAAAGGCGGGAGAAGAGCCATCCTCTGCCTCCCCCCATGTCCCCCCCCACCTTAACTGGGCTTCCAGGCTTTTGCATTCAGGCCCCTATATTTTCTGTAGGAAAAAATCGTTGAAAACACTTTTTTTATATAGGTAACTTTAAGACCATCATTACGCTGTGCGTAAAGAATGTACAGAGAAATTTGTAGGTATTTTTTGAAGAACAATTAATTTGTTAATGATATGTAGCTATTTAATTTTTCCCTTTCCTATTGTAATCATTCATATTTTTTTTTGTTTGGAAAAAAAAGTTGATCTTTTTTTTTTTTTGGTCGTAGAAGTGTCCGTAAAAGTGCAGGAACACAGTTATTCTATGAGATCACTGCATCTGCCTTAATAGCCACTAGTTTGTTATTGCTACAGGCTACTGAGCGTCGCCACAGGAAAACAACCCGCTGTGGGCGGCTCTGTGCAGAACGGCCCCTCCGGGCCCGGCGTCCGCCACCGAGGCCGTTGCTTTGGGAGGGGACGGTGGCGCGGAGGGCCAGGCCCCGGTGCGCTGACCTATCTGGGATAGGCAGCCCCCTGGAGGGGGCCTGGGGCGGATGGTGGCCGGGAAGGGACACTCCCTGGCCTCGGTGGGGGAAGGGTGGGGGGCTCAGTGAGGTTCTTCACAGAGCCGCGCCGTCCGCAGTGCGTTCTGACAATTCTCTCCGTGTTTGTAAATCTGTAATATACCATTCTCTGTGGCCTGTTTTTCCTGGAAGAAGAAGAAAAAAAAGGTTTGGCAGGCCATCTTTTTTTTGTACTTAAAAGTAGCCTTAAGAACAATAATAAAGTGCTCTTAAACCACAGACTGTATGTGAGATCCTTGGGTCCTGGGGTGGCGGAGCCAGGCTGGGCGGCCGGGCTCAGCAGCCCTGCGCCTGTGTGCAGTGGCGCCCGATTTAAGCCCCACACAGGCTGGAAAACTGTAATTTTAACTCCACGAGAAGCATCATTTAAAACCTAACCTACAGAAAACCTACTCTTGTACAAGTCAGCCTCAATTTTGACTTTGGTTCCAGGCGCAAAACATGGACACCACAGAAATAAAATACAAGTGTGGAAAGGGCACCTCCCTCTCCTGGGTTTCTGTGCAAGCTCTGTGGGTGTCACAGACGTGCACGCCTGGGACGAGGGGACGACCAGCCTGAGGGGCCCACGGCAGAGCCATCTGACCCCTCTCACCGCCCCTGACGAACACCTGACCGCAGCCCAGGGCAGACACGTATGGACTCCACCCCACGTGAAGTCGGGGCTGCCAAGCCACCAACAGGGATCTCTGGGATGGGAGCAGCAGCTCCCCTATTGGGGGTCAGGCCCTGGTGTGAGGCCTGAGGCCTCCTCTGGGCCTTGGGTGTCCACAGAAGCAGGAGGGGCTCCACCCAGGCAGCTTTGAGGATCTGGCCTTAGGACCTGTCCCTGGGCCCTTCCACCACCCCAGATCAGCCAGAAACTTCATTCCTCCCTGAGCAGTGCCCGCGGCTGAGGACAGGCTAGGGGTGGAGGAGCCCAAGGCCAGCACAGAGGCCCCAGGGGCAGCTCGGCTCTCCTGCCACCTCCTCCAGCAACCAAGCTGACGACCACTGACAAGGACCCCGGTGCTCACAGGGCCCGGGGTCCCCTGTGCGGTTTGCTGTGGCCCCCACAATGGCTGCCGGAAGGAGCTGGTTTCTCACTTTTCACCTGGTCTGTGCGGGGCGGGCTTCTCCCTGGCCTGCCACCCCATGGGGGTCAAGGCCAGAAGGCACCTGGGACCTTGATGACCAGACACTTGTGACAACAAGAAGAAAGAACGGCTCGTGGAGGGAACCAAGTCCCAGATCAATGGCAAAGCCAAAGCCAAGGTTATTATTTAGCTCAGAGCTGGTGAGATGGTAAGTCGTAAGAAATGGGGAACACCAGGAGCTCCCAGGCAGCGGAGGGGGGCCTTGGCCTCGGGGTGTGGAGCGGAGGGGACCGACGGTTGGAGAGGCGCGGGGCCCAAATCACCGGTCCTGGGGCGGCTGTCCTGCGCCGGCGACACCGAGCCCCTGGGCGGGCAGCCGGGGAGGGGTGGGCCTCGCGGGGCCTGTCAGACCGTCTCGTCGTCGCTCATGTCCCAGATCTGCGTGGAGAAGGGGACACGTTCAGTGTGGCCCGCGGAGTTCAGCTCCCACTGCAGAGCCAGGCTGTGCTTCCCCGTCACTCGGGGCCGACACCCCGTTTCTTGTCTGAGGAAACCAAGTCTCAGAGACGTGGAGTCACGAGGTGAGTGAGCCAGCCGGGGGCAGAGCGGGGACCTGGACGGGGCGGGTGGACGCCGCCTCACCTCCGGGGCGCCGCGGCCGGCCCCGCCCCAGTTTCGGTGGCGCTGACCTCGCTGTCCCCCAGAGTGAGCTCTTGCACCACCAGCCCCACAGGGGCCGAGGCCAGGCTGGGGGAACCTCCAGATCCCGCGTCTGTCCCCCAGTGCGTGTCCTTGGGGAGTCGACTTCTGGGTCTGACCTGGGGGGGTGAACACGCCCCCACAGCACTGCTGTGAAGTGGAGGCGGCCCTGCCTGGCGGGCCACCAGCGGCACACGCCCCCCGGCAGAAAGCTCAAGGCCAGCACAGAGGGCCCCCCCGGGGCTCCTCGCACCCTGGGTGTCCAGGGGGCTGGTCCTTGGACTTACGCCTGAAGACTTTCAAAAATTCCTAGAATTGGTTGCAGAAGGCCACTTCAGCACTAGCAGAGCCGAGGGAAGGAACACTGTTGACACGAGGCTGGCCCGGGGAGACGGGGAGGCCCGGCCAAGGTAAATATCGACAGCAGCTTGGCTTTCAGAGTCAGGCAGAAGGAAATTTCCTCTCTCCTGAGGACCAGCCACCTGGGGCCGCTGTGCCTCTCACCCACACCCAATTTCTACATACCCCCTACTGTCCAGGCACACTGGATGAGCCCACAGAGCAAAGGTCCAGATGCCCGCGGGAACAGAGACGGTGTGGACGACCGGTCTGGGGCCCAGCAGCCCGAGTGTGGCCAGGCGGGCCCTGTGCTCCTCTGGGCTGGGCCCCCCACCCAGCTCATCCTGGGCCGGGCTTGAGACAGACCCCTGGGCCTGCCCCCTCAGGTGGGATTCGCTGGTGGGGGGCGGGGTGGAGGGGCGGCCTTTCCAACCAAGGCTGCACCTGACGCGCTGGCAGCTCTGCCGGTCGGAGCCAGAGGGCCACCAGAGGGCTCGCTGGCGCAGTTCATTTATTCTCTCACACTCATCGATAAGCACTTTCACGGAGCCCTCCCTTTGCCGCGTGCGGTGCGGACGCTCCCTCCTCCAGGCCTCACAGCAGCCTGTGCGGTGCAGATGGAAACCGGCTCCGACAGGCAAGTCAGCGAGCCTGGGATCACACAGCGGGAAGGGGTTTCGTGAACAAGAAGGCTGCCTGGGCTGCCGCAGACCTCCAGAAACTTCCGCCTCAACAAATGCTGTATCATCTCACTTAACATGCAGAATCTAAAAAAGCCAAATCCGTAGAACCGGAGAGGAGGTGGGTGGAAGCCAGGAGCTGGAGGGGGTGGAGAGATGGCCCAAGGGTACAGGCTATCCGTTGTAAGAAGGAGCAGTTGTGAGGAGCTAGTGTGCAGCACAGTGACTAGAGTTCACAGTACGGTATCCTTGAAATTTGCTGAGAGTAGATCCTGTGTTCTCACCACACACACACACACACACACACACACACAACGAAGCACGCGGAGGTGAGTGGAGGTAGTTAGTTAACACACACACACACACACACACACACACACACGAAAAGGCACGCGAGGTGATGGATGTGTTAATTAACTTGATTGTGGTCATCATTTCACAATGTGTATGTGTATTAACTCACCACATTGTATACCTTTTTTAAAAAATCACATGTACAACCTAAATATATACATTTATATTTGTTAGCCATTCCTTAATAAAGTTGAAGGGAAGAAAAAGAACTTAAGTCTCGTCTCCTAGACTGTGGACTCCCAGGAGCTGAGGTTGGCCTGCTCCCTGCTGGGCCCTCAGCCCCCTGCACGGCACCTGGCGGAGAGGGGGCCTAGGGACGTTTTCTTTACGAATGAAGGTTGTAAGGAATTGGCAAATATTTTTAAAATGTTAATACGCAGTGCTGGCAAGTGTATGCTGAAACACTTACAAGGGGAGTATAAATTGGTACCATATTTTTTAAAAGAGGAGATTTGGCAATACGTAACACAAAGCTTTGAAAATGTTCATACCCTAAGGAAGACAGAAATGATCTTTTTACAGAGGACACACAAGTACACCTAGAAAACCCAAGAAAATAAATGCTGAGTTGAATACAATGAAAAGTATCGAGACAGTAAGGTACAAAAGTAACACTAAATTATAGCCTTCCTGTGTACAAGCACTATCCAGTTAGAAAACATGAGAGAGAACCTGTTCTAAGAGCAAAAGATAAATTACTGGGGAATCAAACTAACATGAAACGTACATCTTTATGAACCCAAACCCTTCACACCAGTCCTCACGAGACTCACGTGACAAGTACACTGGGGTGAGTGGGGACGCAGCCTGTGCTTCTGCACAGGACAATTCAGCGTCAGTAAAGATGCCAGCTGTTCCCAAGTAAATATATAAATTTAATACAATTTCAATTTTTTTTTTAAAAAAAAACTATCTTTCCTAGAGCTAGACAACCTGGTTTTAAAGTTTATGTGGAAAGAGAAATAAGTGAGAACACCTAAGAGAACTTTTGAGTATGAGAAGAAAGCAGTGAGGAGGTCCCCCTGCGATGAGTTTAAACAGGTCAAAGTCTGACTCCGAGGGTCGTGCCAGTGCCAGCACAGACAGACGGGCCGGTGGAGCCAAAGGAGTCCAGAAACGGGACAGAACAGAACGTCCAAATACATATGGAAATTTAGTGTTTTAATAATACAGGTCTCGGGAATGTGATCTCAAATCATTAGAAAAATATGGGCTTTTTAAAACAAATGATTTGGGGACAACTGGAGAGTCATTTGCAAAAAAGTAAAATTGATTCCATGCCTCGCTGTGTATCAGAATCAACTCCAAATGGAGCAGAGGTTTAAATGTGAAAAATGAAACCATTCAAATAGTAGATGCAAACACGGGTGAGTTTCTTTATGGGAGTAGAGAGCCTATGACCCCAAATCTATAAACGATAAAAAACAGATACACTGGATTATGTAAAAACACACATGAGCAATTTTTCATGGAAAAAACCAATATGAGCAAAGCTGGAAAGACTGATGGCACACGGGGGAAGAGAGCAGAACACACCCTCAAGGGCTCACCCCCCAACAAAGAGCTCTTAAAAATAAAAAAGACCAATAAACTGATTAAAAAACACCACCACCAGCCAAAGACATGGTCAGTTGGCAGAAAAAGCTAAGCAAATAGCCCTTCTACCTAAGAAAAGGTGTTCAGCCTTACTCAGAATAAGACAAACGCTAAAATTTCTTAGGACCCAAGATTCAAAATGGTCTCTGAAAGACACCGCTGTGAAAATGCAGAGGCAAACCACAGACTAGGAGAAAACACACTGCGCAGAAGGAGGACCCGTCCAGAATAAACCGAGAAGTCTTCCAGCTCAAGAGTAATGAGACAAATAACCTGATCTAAAAAAAAAAAGCAAAAGATTTGAACAGACACTCCACAAAGGAGGAGATACAGTGCTAGTAAGAACCTGAAATTTGCAGTAACACGGGTGGAGCGAGACTGTCCTAAATGAAGTCGGAGAAAGACAAATACCATATATCATTACATGTGGAATCTAAAAAAAACGATGCAAATAAACTTATTTACAAAACAGAAACAGACCCACAGACAAACTTATGGTTACCAAGGGGGCAAGGGGGTGGGGGAGGGATAAATTAGGAGCTTGGGATTGACAGACACACACTAGCACATAAAACCGATAAACAACGAGGTCCTCCTGGACAGCACAGGAAACTATACTCAGTACCTTGTAATAACCTATAATGGAAAAGAATCCGAAAAAGAATATGTATTATGTAAATCGCCTTGCTGTACACCTGAAACACTGTACATCAACTAAGCTTCAATTAAATAAAAATAAAAAAGAACCTGAAAAGATGCTCAGCATTCTTAGTCTTCAGGGAAATGCAAATCCAAGCCACAAGGAGACAGCGCACCCCACCTTCTACAGGGCGGCCAGAACGAAAAAGGCTGGAGACACCAGGCAGGCGGAGCCCGCCCGCGGCTGCTGGCGGGCACGTCGCCAGCGCGGCGGGACGGCCGCTGACTTACGGTCCCCGTGCGCTGTACCCGCGCATCCTCAAAGGGACGCGGTCACGGGTCTGCGGAAGGCTGCAAGGATGTTCGTGGCAGCTTTATTCATAACAGGCACACACTAGTCTCAGCCTCAATGTCCACCAACAGGCAGAGAGAAACCGTGACATCCGTGCAGTGGGCCGCGCTCGCCGTCAAAGGAACCGACCACGAAGGCACCCAGCACCGTGGGTGCGTCTCGGCCCTGCCGTGCGGAGCCGGAGTCTCTCAAGGAGGGCTGTGCGCTGCAAACATCCACGAACATGAAGTCTAGAAGGGGCTTAGTCTATGGTGTCAAAAAGTAGATCATTTGTCACACACGCACCAAAACACACACTTTAAATGGGTGTGTTGTACTGTATGTAAACTGTACCTTAAAGTTAATTAAAAAAAAAAGGCTACACAGAACATTTTCTCATCTCTCGGATTGGCAGCCCCCCGGAGCCTGACAACACAGGTGCTGAGGGGAAGCGGCACCCTCCTGTGCTACCGGCGGGGCAGCAGTGCTAAGACCCACGGGAGAAAGCTTGGAAACACCCGCCGGAACTCAACCCAGGAGGCCCATTCTTTTTAAATTTTGCAAAAATAAACAGAATGATAAGGCAGAAACGAGTGTGAATGGCCACCTCTGGGGGTGGCTCGAGAGGAGGCTGCTCGCACTACAGCTTTTCACGTTAGAATCGAGTAAATGTCCTACATGTTTAGAAAAAGAAAAAGAAAAATAATCAAAAGCACAGCAACAAAGCAAAAAGGGGGGCTTTTCAAAATTAAAGTTTGGGGCTTCATCAAAATTTAAAAACTCCTGTGCAAAGGCCAGTA